TGTGTGCTTTTGCATAGACTGACACTTAAAAATCTATGAGTTAATTTAGGAAAATTTAGGAAAAAGATTTTTTTTTTCTCTAAGAATGGATGACAGTGCTGCATAAGTGGGTTGTCTTAGCGTTCAGAACCTCTTAAAGTAAAATGAGCTTTGCTGCAAGTGTGATCAAACATCACTTTGCTTTTCACACTCCTAACGCATGTGTTGCTAGCCTGCTAACCATGGCTAAAAGGCATGAAGTCACAGGCAACTATTAAAACGTTTAGATTCCTAGCTTGTAAATATTGCATTTCTCACAGAATTGGACTGAAATCCAGTCTTACGCTTCTTGTTCATCCAGTTCATATCCATTGGGATGCAGCATTTGTGCAAGAATCAATTATCCATTTGTTAGTCAGAGGAGCTTTACAAATTATACATTAGCAGATTGATTTCTCAGGTTCGCCGTTGGGGGACTGATAGTATAAGGTGGGTTGATGATGAGTGCCAGGGGAGAAGGAGTTGCCTCAATGAACACAATTAAAAGCAGCTTTCTGAGTGGCCGTGAATTTAGTCCTACTTTAAGAACTGACGTCATCCATAGCAAGTGTGTTTATTTCAAGCATTGTTACATTAATTAGGGAATTGATTAGCACACGGGGTATATATATTGGTAGATGCTCGTTTTTCCTTCGCTGTAAATGTAAGGTTTTGCCCAAGTCTATATTTAGATCTACTCGAGCAAGATCTCTGCTGGCTGTTTTTTCCTCTCCCTAAACTTTTCTTTCTTCCATTAAGGTAACATTTTTTTGTTCTGTAGTGTCAGCTTGACATTATTGATTTTGAACAGTCAAACTTACTTATGTTGTCCAGAATTCCAAACATGTCTCCATCGGAAAGAAAACTGCAGCTAATGGAAATTCAGCTGCAGGCTTTTCTTCTTTTGCCAGAAGTTCCAGACTTTATGAAATTCAGCAGCTGTTCTCAAGTTAATCATTTCAGTGTATCTCCCTTCCTAACTAATGGAGTCTTTCTTATTGCCAGACTTGAATCATGTCGCTTTGTAAATACTGTGTGTGTTACTACTACTTGTGCAGTCCTGGAAGTATGATTGTGACTAAAAAGAACTTGTGGTATTGGTTTTTTGTCCTTAATTGGACTAAAGCAAGGGGTCCTGATTAGGTTAAAAAATACTGTTCAGTGTAGTACTAATTAAACAATTGTTAGACATTACTGAACTTTTCCTAAGCAGATGTGTATGTTTTTATGGCATAGGATTTGAGATTAGGTCATGCTTATTCACTGAATAATGCTTAGGTGAATAAAATGTGCAGAAGTTTTGAAGTGACACTTTGACCTCAGATTACTATTGTTATTCTTAAATTACACACAAGTAGATGTGTCTGGGAGGGCATTTATTCTCTGTGCCTTAGAAAGCAAACCTGTTTTCTTTTGCCAGGCAAATTAAACTCTTCGATGGTACAGCTGGGATAAGATTTAAAAAAACACAAGGGAAAGGCCGCTGTAACTCCGTGGCTGAGTCAGTAGCTTTTAATTCCAAAAAAAGAGGAGGTTTCATTCCAGATTATTTGTGCTTCTCTTTTCTGGAATCTCAAAATTAGCCACGAGCTGTTGATAGAATGTAAATACAACTATTTGAAATAGTAAGTAGCTTGTCTGGCTGGCCCAGCCATGTGTTTAGAAGAATAACTGAATATATGAGCTGGAGATGAAGAAACACCTTGGACTTAGATAATGTGCTAATTTTATTGGCCATCTCCTATTTCTGATTTTCTAGATAGCTTTATATATATATATATATATCTTAAATAGTATAATGGAGTATAATTCTGAAAATTATAGCCTTGATTGTTACTCAGTGCCAAACCAGAAGCTCCTGGCATTGCCAGTACTTCTCCTTGCTAGAACTTTATTATAAAACACATTTAATACTCAGACTTGACAGCATTTGAGCCCATGGTCTGTCATCTCTTTCTGAGCTCTGTGGAAAGTTCTGACTGACGAAGTCAGTTAACAAGCTTGTAGCCAACAGTGCCAATTCAACTTGAAATCTGAAGAAAAATAATTACTGCAAGGTTGCTTTACCTTGTGTACATTATCTAGAATAGCATATTCTGATGAAAATTAGCTGGAGATGTGTTTAAGTAGCAGCTTTGCTTTTAGTTGAATTTGTCTTTCCTGAACATCTTTTGTTTGCGGTGGCAGACAGCAGGGGAAAGAGGTGGAGAAAGGGGTGGTTAGAAACAACTGATAAAAGCATTGCACATGCAGAAGGCTTGTAAGAAGTTGCCAGTTATACGTAGTGTCATGAAATACCATGCATACTGAATTTCTACTTAATGAATTCCTACTAAACAATTCCGAAGTAATGCAGTGTGAAAAAAACAGATGTTGCAACGATGTTATTTTCCCCTACCCACAGTACACTGCATGTATATGTGGAGCAGTTTTGCCCTGCCTGGCACCATTCAGTTACCTGAGCATAGCCACACATTTCATCTCCAGAGTGTTCTACGTGGCTTCCAAACAGCAAGGTGATAGATAAGGTCTGTCATCTTGCTCTGCTTCTTCACCTTTTATGCCAAGATAACTTACGTAGTCTACCTTGCCAACTTCCTGCATTTCATTTTTTGAGCATCAAACTTTATCAAAGCCATTCACCAGCACGGTGGGAACGGTATGGACATTACAGCTGAGCCCTTGCTCTTTGGTGTGTCTGTTTTGTTTCCTTTATGTCTTGGGCTTTCTTGCCGTTATGTAGGAATGCTACGAGACCTGCTGCTGCTGTCATGCAAGCAGTGATGGCGGGCTTTAGGTGGTGGAGAGATGAGAAGAATGGGACTGACTGAACACTGACTTAGCCCGTGACCTTATGTCAGGGTGATGTTATTCAGGATGGACTTTTTGCCTCTCCAATTGCAGAGCAAAAAAAGAACTTTGGAGAAAGTTGTGGCAATAGCACCTCAGATACTTCTCAGAACAAAAGCCATGCCACTTGATGAGCTCTGCTGAACTTTCTGCACTCTTCCTTGCAGAGGGACAGAGGTGTTTATCGTTGTAGGGCAGAGAGAGGAGACGTGCTGGGGTTTAATGGGTGGGTTTTACTTTTTATGTCTCTCTGGCAGAAACCAAAAAAATCTCCTCTTGCACCTTGATGAGCAAACCAGAAATTTAGAAAAGCATTTTCAAGGTAAGACAGGAATGAAATTGTGAGCTGGTCATTTTTATGAAGGTTCTAGAAAGCGAGCCTGATAACTGACATTTCCTGTCTTATTCAGCATCCTTGAATCGGGTACATGTTGCACCTGAGAATCAGAGCCATCATGGAGCCATTCTCCTCAGCTGACACCCCAAATATGTCTGGAGGAACATGTGCCAGCTGCTTGCACAGCTGGGGCTGTGCTCTCTTGTAGTTTTGAAATGCAGTAAGTCAGCACTTCATCCCTGCGGTGGGTGAAAGTACAGCTGGAGAACATAAATCAAGGGAGGTTGCTCTGATGACTTCCTTGGCAGCGAGTTTTTTGGCAGAGAGCTCGTGGTGAAGAGACCATGTTGTGTTAGGCAGCAGTTGCAGTAACTAGTTGCAGAGTTGCAGCTCTGTGACATGGTGAGGGGCTGAGTGATGTCTTCTGCATGTGAGGAAGCCAGAAAACTACAGGACTGGCAGCATCCATTTCCCATTTCGTCAGGCCATCTGCTGCAGAGCAGGGCACAGCTGTTCAACCTTGGTTAGAAAGAAGGAAATTGAAAACATAATTTGGTAAATGCTGTTGTTTTTCTTTCTGATATTTTTTCTTTATCTACAAGTGTGAGGTGAGGAAAATCTTACTTTCCCTGACTTATGTTTTGTGTGTGCATGATACACAGGGAAAAGCTTTCCAAAGGCTGTGAGAAGATCTTGGTTTTACCCTTTAAAGGTTGTTCATTGGGACAGTGAGTTTTAATGTAACTTTTTATAGTGGTGTAATTCCAACTGCCATTGCATACATAAGGGCTTGTTATATTTTAGGCACACACTGTAGTATTTAATGTGATCCCATGACGCCGGTACTGCTCCAGTGACAGTTCATTTTTGCACAGATGTACGATGGACTTCTCCTTTATAATTCTCAGGATGCCACAAGTGATTTGTTTCGTGATACAATCTGTTCAAAATCTTCTAAGATTTTCTGAGATGAAGAGTTTTTCTTAAATATCTGGGTCTGACTTACAGAAACATAGAATTGTTAAGGTTGGATGTGCATAAAGATCTTTCAGTGATGCTTGAAATGATATTTGTTACAGAGGGTGAAATCAGGATCGTGGTGTATAAGAAAGTTCTTGGTACTTGAGTGTGGAGTTTGATGCATGAGAGGATCTGCATGGTATTACCCAAATGTGAGGGCAGTCCTCAGTACTTAAGGACAGATGTTTAAAGTAAACGGTTGAATGCTGTATAACCCTGCAGGGCAAATTTAAAAGAATGTCCTAAGTGGATAGGGAAAGTGACAATTTATTAAATTGGTGCAGTCTTGAGGCTTTTCTCAATATTTGTCTGAGTACACCCATGTTGCACTTCAATACTTTCTAAAACTAGCTTTTGAAAATACTATTAGAAGCGAAAATGAAAGCCAGGGAAAAGATTTGCAGGAAGACCAAGCCAGAATTTTCAGTTGCACTGATGCCTGTTCTGTCAGCATGCCTTATGCTGAGTTTAGATAGCGGGAGAGGTTCTTAATGAGTCTGTGGTGTGCAGACTCAGAAGCTCCAATTCTGGGACCCTGACCCTTCATGAGGACTCTAGGCATGTGAGGCTAACAATGTCAGGTGTCTGGGTTAGGCATAAGGCCTGAAAGAAGGCCGTGTGTGGGTATTGTTGGAGGAAGACGTCTTCCATGTTTTCTGAATTGACACAAGTAGCGTACATCCTCTCATACGTCAATCTCAGAAAATGTAGAGGACATAAAAGCATGTGACTACTGATGTAACTTTAAATTTTGTGTTGTTTTTTTCTTTTCTAGAGCCCCGTGAAGATAAATCAGATCAGCCTGGATGAAAGTGGAGAACACATGGGTGTTTGTTCAGAAGATGGGAAGGTACGACTAACCTGTTCATGTGTCACGTGAGGTAAAAGGCACTCTTTGGTATTAAACTGGAGGTAATTGTGATACCTGTGAAATTAAGTACTACCTTTAGCACCACTTTGACCATCCATCTTGAGAAGTGGGCTCACCTTTGAATACTCAAAATTAAAGTCAAATATATTTTGCACGAATGTGCCATAGGAAAAGTAATGACAAGAATGTCAATAATGTAACTGGTATTAAGCTGATTAACAGCTGTGGCAGGAGGACATGTCACCTTAATCATTACTGCTGTGCCAGTTATACTTCAGTGACTAGTCTGCTGTTCCTGCAAGACAGTGGTTTAATGCCTTTCTGCTATAAATCCACAAAATTGGATTCTGTGGGCTGGTGGTTTTCATTTTCACACACATTATGAATGTTTCTCTTGAATTATAGAATCTTTTGACAAGCAATCATAGTTTATCAGAAGAATAAAGTGTCTTACAACAGCCACATTAAATAAATGTAAAATCAATATATGTACAGTTTCCTAAAAAACTGGCACCTACTTCCTTGACTGAGGACATATTTCATTTGTGCAGTGTATAACTAACAATTATCAGTGCTTCTCTGGAATGTAGAGCTGTGACATTTAGTGGTTTTGGTGATTGATTTTCCACTTATCAGAATGTCTTTTTTGTTTTTAAGTCGATGGCAGTCTTTTGTAATGTTGGTTTGCAATGATAAAATTCTTACGCACAGGGTGTTTTTAAGCTTCTTTTTTGAATATAATGCTCATGTACATATGGAGTGCATTAAAAATCATTTAAATAATTTCTCAATATCCACTGGAGTTCCAGAGTAGAACATTTCTTACGTAGTTGATCTGGATGGAGGAGGAGTGTTGATGATGCTAATGGATCTAACCCATTTAGTGTAAGTTGGATGAATTCACACTAAAATTGGATCCCAATTTTAAAAAAACCCAAAACAGTTGCACTAGCTAGGTTAAGGTATTTATCTTACACAAATTAGTGATGTTATGTCCTCTGGACCACTGCAAACGATTCTTGCACTATGTAGGGAGTACATTTTCCCATATCGGAATGAATCCAGCATGAGGGAGTTGGAAACTATCTGTCTTCTTGAAGGAAGGCTTTATGATGAGAACTTCTTCCTTATACCCGTTCTGCTGTGTCCTGCATTTTCTTTCACTGCTTTTTTCTTTTCACTTTCAAACTAGGTCTGGACTAGTTATTTTTACTGAGGGGGGACACAGCAGTAGAGTGCAGTTCTCTAACCTTCTTCTTGTCAGGCAGCATCCAGACTTACTGTCAAAACCTGCATTTTATACATCGCAACAACTGTGCTGTGAATGAGCCACTTGCAGCTTTTCTTCACTGAAAGTTTTGATGTTTGAAAATGTTCCTTGCCAATGGACTCTGTGCAGCTGGTCATCACCTTCATGGAAAGGAACAGAAGTGAAAGCCACCACCCACTGCTTTGCTGTGTCCACTGTCTGGGAATAATGAGCAGATACTGAAATACAAAAGGAAAATTATGGTGCTGGCAAAAACAAAAGGGGAAATGCATCTGCAGAAATGTATTTTTTTTAATGTTAGAATTTTGTCTGCTTATACACTACCTTGAATAACCTGGGTCTAAAGCTCTCTCATATGTAGATCGCTCTGAAAGTGATGCTTCCTATTTATTTCCACAAAATCACAGAATCACAGAATGTCATGGATTGAAATGGACCTTGAAAGGTCTCCTAGCCCAATTCCCCTGCAGGAATATTAACACCTGGGTTAGGTCACATTATGAAAGTACAACAGATATAGTAAGCACAATAACACTGTTGGGTAGAGCAAATTCTCAGCTACAAAGTGCTGTTTTTGAACATAGTCACCACCATTGGTTACACATTTTTGCCAGCAATGAACGAGAACCTGCATGCTGCATTCATAAAAATCTTCATGGCTGTCTGCAATGTGACTTGTCTTTCACATCGTTGCTCCCCCTGCTAAAACACACCACTCACCACCTTACTGTGCTTATTTCTGCTATTTGGTCTCCATAAACATACAGCAAACACTGATGGATGTCAGTGGGTGTCATGTTTTCCACAGAGGAATTCAGTTCCACATGTTTACTTCAGATGCACTTCCATACCAGGTGCCATTTTGTCGGACTGCCCCTCTGCTGCCATCTGTTGCACAACAAAATGTGATAGAATATTGGTAGGAAGGTATAACCCCTTCTGCCATAACACCAACATCTGCCTCTAACATCATTGGCCAGTGTAATAAAAGAGGAGACATTATTTTTGGAGTAACCCTTGTGTCTTGCAGAATGGAATTTCTATTTGGTGTCTTTATTGGCTTGGAACTTCGTAAAAGACAGCATAAAGTATATTGAAAAGGTGTTTACATGTGTTAGTGTCACATTTACTGCCTGTAACAATAATTATGTTAAGAATATTCATGAAGTACTGTATTCCACACTTAAGAAAAAAAAAAAAGTGGCTCAGGTTGACCATTCTTGCATTTTGACTATCTCAAAGTTAGCTGGTGCTTCCATATTTGGAATCAAAAAACAGCTATGTCTAGGTGTGCTGGAATAGTGGATCCTGGATATTTAAGGTGGAAAGGGCTGGTAAAATATAGTGTGCTCATGAAATACTTTTTCCAGCTACCTAGAAACAGAAGATGAAGAGAAAGTAGATGATGGAAAGTAGAAATAGATAAATCCAATATAGCTTTGTAGTATCAAAAGAACCACTTTCTCTCTGAAGAATCAAAGACATTAAGAAGTAATAAACTGTTATATGGTGTCCCTAGAGTAAACATGATAACATGTATTTTATGCTGAGTTGTTTTTTCCTCTTTAGTTAACTGGCTCCATTTTGTTTTCAAACTCTTAAAGAAACATCTTACTGACACTTTTGATGCAGTACTGTGACAGTGCTGAAGGCACCATTGCCAGTGGTTGTTAATTTTGATTAATTGGTTTTAATTTGAGAGTTGTTCTTGTTCTTGAGAATGTTGCTTTCATCGAGTTTTTAGACTTGTTTTGAGCGTTTTGTTTTTCTCCTCCTTTCTTCCCTCATATTTTCTCTTTCCTCTGTGCCATATTCTGTGTAGTCTGTCGCACTGGACATAGCGTGCCAAGTGTCCAAAACAAAAACCCAGAGAACAAAATCCTGCAGACATCAGCCTCAAGGTTTTCCAGACTTACAGTCTGACCCATCTCAAGTATAGCCCTTTGGTTGGCTTACATAACCACAGCTCTGCGATGATGTGGCATTATTTCCAATGGGTGTTTTTAGAGTCTGTGTATTCACTAACAGTAATGGGCAGAGCTGAAAATGCTGCTTAGAAAATGCGCTCCAGAAACGAGCTTGAAAGGGAGACGAGGGGTTGTGAGGTATTTTTGCTTTATTGAGACTGCCAAACTTGGAGCCAGTGTGAGGACAGCTTAGTTCCTCTCGTTGTTTAGCTAAACTCTAATTTTTCACTCTGTCTTCTTGGCTGTCTGGGTTTTTGTCCTCTGATAGCTGAATTGATCTTTTCATAGAGCCATTAAGCTTTATTTCTGTGGCCCATTACTGGGATTTACTGGCTTTGTTCTGCAGGTCTTTCTCCAGTGTTTCTGATTTGTGTTTTTGCTTTTTTTTGTAGCTGTCCCCTCACCACTGCCAACACAAGGAGTTGAGAGATAGCAGTACAGTTAAGAGGTTATGTAGATCTCTGAGTTAGTCCAGCTTGTAGTTGAGCATGTAGAGCAGAATGGCTGAGGGGATTATCTCTCCCAGATGGTAAGGATGAGCGACTAGCCTGTCTGGGAGCTTCCTGAGATAGATGTGCTGTCAAATACAGCTTCCCATAGACCCACTCCCTGCCGTGCTCTTTCCCCTCCCTGCTGAGGTGATCTTGTTCCAACGGATTCTGACCTACACCTTACAATAGTAATGTAAAATTAAACCGTTTGCTATTCCTTGCGGAAATCCTAATTCGTAGAGCAATTACTAATTCATGGCCATCAGTCTTCAGCCCTAGTTTACTCCTAGGCTCTGGAAGAACTCAGATGTCTCCGTCTCACGTGGGAAGGAGAAAGGGATATTGCATGAAGAGACAAGAGACCAAAAGAGAGTAGAGGAAACCCTACTCTGGGCTCGTAGCATCTAAGAAGTCTAATGGAATTTCCTACACTTTGTACCTCTGTACCGATTATGTAAATAAAGAGAAGAAACCACCACAGTAAAAAAAACCTGTTAATTCTCTTGGCAGCAGAAGCATACTTTTTTATAAGTGTTGAGCCTTCTTCAGATAAATTAATTTGGATAGCTGTCTTATGGCCTATGGTTACAACTCCACTGCTGACTATTAAATGTACTGAAGCATCAACATAGAGGAGAAGAGAGGAATCTTCAGAGAGTGACATTCCCAGTGGTCATGGAATGAAACAAAGTAGTGCTGAATGCACCTGGGAGGAGAGAGGATGCCAAGAAACACGGGAAACACAGGAAAACATGGTTTTCATGTTTGTTTTGCTTTGTTGTCGCAATTTTTTTTTCTTATGTAAAGTCTGTATTGCTCGGAGGGGAAAAGAAATCTTCCAGTTCCTTCTCAGAAAGGAAGAGTTTTTAATTTATCTTCCCCTGAATGTTATTATTTTGCTCATACCTTACCTAGATCAGTATCTGTTAAACAGATTTGATCAACCTAAAACAAAAGGAATTTGTGTTTAGGAAACAAAAACACTTAAAGTAACTACTTTTGCACTACTGAAAATATTTAGCGATAAGCCGTAATGGTAGCTGATGAAGTCTCAATTAACTCTGCATTATTAAATATGACTTTTTTTTTCTTCAGGAAGATCATACAGCTATTAACATTCACATTAATCTTCTACTTATTATCATTTTCCTTTCACCTTTAACTGTCAGGTGGTTATTACATACATTTCTTTGTTATATTTTTTGTTTTTAAATTAGGTGCAAGTGTTTGGATTGTATTCAGCGGAAGAATTTCATGAAACATCTGACTGTCCTATTAAAGTAAGTGCTTGTTTTAATCTTTAGCAATTGTGTTGTCTTTAATAACAGTAAGGTCACGCTGAATCTAAATGAGAGAGGAGTACTGCTTCAGTGTAATGTTATTCAAGTCACAAGAAAATAGTTATCTATCTCAATATAAAAGCTTTTGATCTGGTTAGGTAGGAAGAAAGCTGATCTAGGTTTTGTGAGAAGTATTATTGAATTTTTCAAATACAGAAGGCAAAGCGAAAGAGAAGTTGTCCTGTTTCAGCTGTTACCTGTCTCAACATATTTCTGTCTTTGTAGATCTGTGGTATAAATTCTGAGAGTTCTACTAACTGGGAGGTCAATATTTCGCAACTGATTCATATCTGTTAAACCTATCCTGGGACAGAGCAATGAGTAGTGATGCGGATATAATCTGTTAAAGAAAGAACTCAGTTTCTGAAAAAACAAGTGGAGCTGGCTGGATCTTTAAAGAAATGCCTCTAGAAGGTGTATAAGAAGGTTTAAGCTTTTTTATCAACGTATATTTTTACTGCAGGAGAAATGGCGGCGTGTGCAAATTATTGCATTTTGCTGCTTAGGGTCTTCGGTGTTTGCATCTGCTTTTGGAGGGGGAAAAAAATGAGCATACTAAGTTTTTACACACGTTGAATACAACTTACTTGGCTCCTGTTGTCCTGCTGCCCACACTCACATGTAAAACAAAGCACTTTTTTGGCTCTCTGATTCAACACACTAGACCCAGCTGATCAGTCCGAGTGTGAGGCTGGTGCTTTGTGAGGTACACTAGAAAGGTTGGTTAAGCAATGTGACAACACCAAGCTGTGTCCTCTAGGAAGGTCACAAAGAAGTCTCACTTGCAGGAATGCTTGTGGTGATCCGATGCCACGTGGTCCTCATTCTGCTGCCTGATGTGCAAAAAAGTAATTGTTCTGCCCGTGACCCTCCGTGTCAGGAATGTGACAACTCACATGCCCTACAATATGGAGGATTTTCTTTTTTTTTCTAAGCAAAAGCAGTAGGACAGAGAAGCAAACTAAGATGTCTGAAAGATTTCATCTCTACTTCAGAACCTCAGCTGTAATATTTGATATTTTGCAAAGGGTTGTCTACTTTAAAAATTGATACAGTGCTCTCTGAAACTCTTATTTCAGCTGTAATACACGTTTTCTTCTCTGTTAATACTCAGATTGTTGCTGTTCATCCTCATTTTGTAAGATCCCACTTCAAGCAGTTTGTAACAGGAGGAAAAAAGGTAAGCAGTCGCGGTGAAATTAACTTAGGCTACCTTTAAATAGCTTTTAAAAGGTGCTCAGAAAGTGTGTATCTGTGGTAGATGACACCTAAAGAAAATTGCTCTATTTTTTCCTTCTCTTCATACATTGTATTCCACCACATTCTTAATTAACATTCATTTCAGGAAAAAGTAACACACTTGCTATGTTAAAATCATGTTGCAATGAGTACAGTGTCAAAGTAAAACTACTTCTGTCCTTCTAGCCTGAAAAAAAACCAGCTAATTGCATTTCCTAGGGCAGCGTTTTCGTTTTTACATGGTTTGGGAGCAGAAGTTAAACTTTAATACTGCTCTTTTTTACAATATATGTTGGCATTGGTGTTTGAGAATTTTTGTGGGTTTTTTTTTTTTGTTTTTTTTCTGTTTGTTTGTTTGTTTTTGTTTTTGTTTTGTTTTTTTTTTAAGTTGCTCAGGAAATCTCTGGATAGAGTATTTGTATGTATGTAATTCAAGTCTCCTATCTGGACAGTCTTCTATTTTTATGTGTCCATCGTGGTATTTTATTGGTCCAGGCGGCAATTTTGACCTTCAGAATACAGATATTTCCAGGTCCAACAAGTATGCTTTGTCATGTTGCATATTTTCAGTTAAAATATGAGAAGTTTGATTTGGAACAGTTTCTTAAATTCATGAAATTTTCCTTTTGCCTTCTCTTATGAATTAAGGATGAACAATCCTCACTTTTAGATGCATCAAACTGAATGCCCTGGCTCAGCCTTACCAGCATGTAAGAAGTACAGACTCATCATGCTTCATGCAGCTTAATTTTCTTTAGCAGCTCAATATTGTTCAATGAATAGCTGTTTGTTTTTTTTCTTTTGTAAGTAGTGTGCATGTTTGACAGTTTTTGCAGGTTGGTAAGAGCTAGTGGTATCCTTAAAATGATGCATAGTCAGTGTATGTCTTTGTCAGCCACCAGCTTGTGAAGCTTTTTAGTCATGATAAAAGTGTAGAAAGAGAGAGGCAGGGAATTAATGGAACAGGACTCCGTCAGGTGGTAAAAGAGCTTGCAATCACCTGATGCCGAACAGAAAAAAACATCAGGAAGTTAACACATTCTCTTTGGTTATCTTTGATTACTTGACAGGTTGTTTTATATTCTGTCCTCTGGGGAACGGTATACTTGTTTTTAATGCATTCATTTTTTGCTGAGGAACTTTCCTCCTCAGGAAAACTTTAATTGACATCTTAACATAAGGTATTTAGCATTGAAATAGATGTCCCTTGACACCTGTAATTTGATTTTATTGATACATAAAACCAACAAATAAAACCTTTTATCCTTGTGATAGAAGCCATTCCTCTTTTCTCCTTTCCTCCAAAAGGAGCATATTACCTTATATAATGACAGCAACAAAACGCTCTATGAAGATTCAGAAGGTTAAATCCCACTTACCTATTTATCAAAGATATTGTTTTTCTGAAAAGAAAAAAGCCTGGATAAACATCTCTGCTCTTTATACCTCTCATGAAGTCCAAAGCTGAGAAGCCGCTTACAGTCAGCAGGCAGTGGGGAGTTCTTCCACAAGAACCCAGAGAAAGGGGCCTGAACCACTTCCCATTATTTTTTTCCTCCAGAGGGTGGTGAGGCACTGGGACAGGTTGCCCAAGGAGGCTGTGGATGTGCCATCCCTGCAGGCACTCAAGGCCAGGCTGGATGTGGCTCTGGGCAGCCTGGGCTGCTGGTTGGTGACCTGCACACAGCAGGGGGTTGGAACTGGATGAGCATTGTGCTCCTTTTCAACCCAGGCCATTCTAGGATTCCGTGACTTCAACTATTTCATAACTGACATTGTAAGAGGCACTCCGCCTCTCCAGCTCCACCTGCATGGAGGGTGGAGCTTTGGGAAGACAATTCTTTCGGGTTGTGATGCTGCTGTGGAAACATGGCTATCCTTGCTCATATCAATCTTAAGAGAAAAGGTTTGCTTAAGACTATTACACTGTGCTCCTTGCCTGAGCTGCATGCAGTTAAATGATGTAAAGTACGTGAATTCTTTATCCAAATGCTCTGGGGTCTGTCATTAGTTTTTTCGTTACTTTGGGAGATGGTGATATTATGTGTGTGAGCATATTTTTTTTTCATTGTTTTCTGACATTATTAGAGCAGACAAAAGAAGCCAGAAAGGAATTTCATCACTTACTCAAACTAGTTTTATTATGTATGTTGGTATCACAGGACACGAGAAAGATGCTCTTGATTTTGTACCATAAATTTCATGCTGATTTTGGTTTACAGTTTACAAAACAGAGAAGCCAAACCACACATGCACACAGAAAGCGTGAATGGCACCTCCCCCTGAGTTCTGTATTGTTTTGTCTCATGTCAGAAGAGCACTTTAAGATCTGCTTAAATTTATTAATTGTATAGCCAAGCATCTGCCTCAGTGGGATCCTTAATTGTAGTGCTTCTGTGAATGGAGCGTGAGGAGCTGTAAGTTACTGCATCCTTAATTTTCTCTCTTTTGAGAAATAGGCTGTTCTTTGTAACAATGTAATACATGTAAAAAATATGCCTTTAGTTCAAAGGCATGCTGTAGGGCATTTTGCAAATGTCCGAGGGAAGCTACAGTGTCTTTAACGAAATAAACAGAGCACAGGAGAGAAGCACTTTGCTTTGGGGATGTGTGTTGCAGCTGCTCAGTTCCAGAGATGGGTGGATGGTAGGAATTGATGTGAGCTGCTGTGTGGTGTTGAGATTTGCTGTGTCTTAGAAGTGCAGCCTGACTTAAAGCTGACTTGAGAGCAGTGCTCCCTGGGGTAATTGCTTAAATTGTCACAGATTGTTGGAACTTCAACTCCACTTTGCATGTAACCATATACAGTTGCTTAGCTAGGCCTGTGCTGGAGTCTTGTAAGAGCGTCTTTTTCTTCTAAATTACATTACAAACCAATTAACTAATTTCAATTGCTTGCTAAAGCTCTTGTTTCTGAAAGTAAAGAACTTTCTTTAAGCTTGGGATAGTATCATTAGCTTCCTTTAGGGCTGGAAAAGCTTCTTCATACACACCCCTTTTTTTTCCCCCAATGAATGATTGTTATCTGTATTATCTCTGCATTAAAAAAAAAAAAAAAAAGGTATTACAGAAATGTTGTCATGATCTCAGAGAGAAGCAATGGGCACCATACTAAAAAAAAGCCTTTCCTTGCTCCCCTTCCTTTTTCTCTGCAATTAACTACATCACAGTTGTGATGGCTTGGCAGATGATGGTAACCCTGAAATAATAATACTGTATATTGTAAATAACAGAGCATTCTTTTCCGGAGCAGACAGTAGAGCTTCAAAGCAAGGGAAAAGACAAATACTGTACTATTGAAGGCCATAACCTTCTACCTTTTAAGAAAGGGTGTAATCTTAACAAATAACAGGGTAAAAGCCAACTAAATGAGGGTGTTAGAGCTGAAAACAAAGTGTTCTTCATTTAACCATTAGAGCGCCGATCTTTCCCAGTACATCACCTAAATGAAGGTTATTGCAGAGTCTGAGTATCCATTATATCCAGAGGGTTAAAGAGGCAGAACCAACGAAGAGAGAAGACTGAAGGATATTTCAGTTCCAAAGTAAAGGTATCAGCTACTGCCTCATATGTAAAGAGAACTTAGGAGAGCAGGGCAACTGGAGGTTTCCTTCTTGGCAGGGGCATTGAAGAGGGTCCCTATTCCATGTTTTGATTAAGTTCAGGACTCGGACAAGAAGGTTTTTGTAGTGAAGTTCCTATGAGGATGAATCACCTGGAATGATTGAGTCACTCTACTGAATTTGTGCTAATTAAGCTTTCACAGTGAGGATTTCAGCATAACATAGTAGTGGGGACCCAGCACAACTCAGCGAACGACTACTGACCCAATATGGGAGGAGAGTATTCAGTATCTTAAAGGATGCATTTTCCATGATAACTATTAATTTGAGTATCCAATCCAAAACAATTTAAGCTGGAGAGCCAAGATAAAAGTGAGTATTTACCCTGTGAGTGCAAACAGTTACATATTTACCTGTAGCTACATCATATGTATATACAAAACATACATGATGGAAATATTTAAAGGCAAATTTTTAATATGGACTGTATTTCTGTTGCTAGAGAAGATGAACTATAAGAGCTGCTTTTCAAATGCTGATTAATCTAAAAATGGTTTTGTCCCATTCATTCTCTCAGAGTTAGCATCTGAGCGTATGGATATCCAGGGTTGAATATCAGACTCTACTTTGTCTGTTACAAAAGCAGAGGGAGCTTAGTGTTGCCCGAAGCAAATTCCTCATTTCAAAAACTTGAAAATATGATTTCAATATTAGAAGCTTGAGCAGGATCCACTGCATCTCCTGTCTGAGACACAAAGCAAGACAACCTGAATTCCTTTCCATTCCCAATGGAGCAACATTGTACACAGAAAAAGGATAGCAGTTGTCAACAGTGCACAGACAGTAAGAGAAGTAGCATTGTTGTGCAACTGCTGTTGAGGGTGGTGAATTTTGTATGTTAAAAGTCAAGCCTGGCAGGGAATGTCTCTGTTTTTTTGTTTAATTGTCTGCTTTTTAGTGTCAGCAGATGCACTTTGCTTCATGAGTAAGTAAGTGACCTTTACCTCTGAACCCTATGATATGTACTTCATAATAACTGGTTGGACTACTTTGACAAATTGTCAGGATGCTGTTTGCAGCACAGTCCATTTTTAGAAAGCAGATAGTCAGCTGTTTGGCATTATGTTGGGTAGAAGAGCGGCAGACAAGAAAGGCAGATTGCTTTGTAAGCTATAAAATGTCAGTAAATAGTCAAAGGTCTACTTAAAGTGAAGGAGTAAATACTTTGGCAGTTTCTGTCCATGCATTGGATAATTTACCATAAACACGGAGCAAGCTGTAGCAGCAAGGAAGCTAGCCACAACAGTGCAGGTCTGACATTTGTGTGCAGTAATGAATGGTGCCCAGATGTATCCTGTACTATTCAACAGACTGGACTTCAACAGGGAGGTTAACATCTTTTGTTTACTTAATAAGGAGCTTTATTGGTTGTGTTCAAAGGAGGTTTGATTTTCATAATGAAGAAGGAAAAAATATGTTCATCGTGTGGTGTAATGCACAAATTTGGTTTGTGTGAAGAGAGAATGGATTGTAGGCCTGCGTGCATGTTTTGTGTTTTACTAAATTCCGTGTGGAAAACTTGTTTCACTGCCTGAGGTGGCAAGCAAAGAGGATCGAAACACATGGAATGTGTGAGAGCTTGTGCTTCTGTCTGCAAGCCTGCTGAACTTGCTTTCAAAGGTGTTAATTCTGTAGCTGTTTGTGAATAGGTGGCAGCTGGAACCTAGCAGCTGAGTCATTGAAGGTATAGCCTTATAAAACTCCTGTGGCATTTGTTTGCATGAAAAGCTTCAAAATTTCTAGCTTTTCGTCTTGTAGTTTATAGCCCATGGACTACAGGGCAGTAGCTGCTGCATGTCCCACTGCCATTGCTTCTCTTCCAGCACTGTTGGCTGCCTCCATGCTTGCTTTCCCTCAAGTCCATTGGTCCATTGCTGCTCCACACAGGAGTGATAATATTTTATTGTTGCTATATGCTATTCCATTCCTAGGGATGCATGATTAAACAGTACGTCTTCATGTGGCATGCTGGTCTGTGTTACCCTCAGGTATCTGTTAATCTGGGCTGTGCCTGTAAATGTTGTTTTTATGCTTAGAACAATAAAAATCTATTGTGATCAGTTGTAAATATGGCAGTAGCATCTTAGGTTTTTGTGATCTGGCCTGGCTGAGAAATGAGTTGATAGGACGGGTGCCAAAATACAGAGAATAGCCATGGGTAGGTACATCTTCACACCTGGGCAAACAGAGAACAAGATAAAGAAAATACTTCTCCTAGTATTACTTCACTGAATGTGAAAACTAATCCAACAGTGCTGCCATAGGGAAAGGAAGGGTGGCTCTTCAGTTACAAATGGAAATCTCAGCCTTTAGCATCAGTGAAAGTCCTCCAGATCTTTACAGCAAAGACACTGTTTTGAAACAAAGTAATTGTGTGGAGAAGAGAAGTGAAATTAAATCGAGTTATGTTTGTGTATTGATACCACTGAAGCTGCGGTCATTGGTCTCTGTATTCAGAGAATTCCTGTACACAGTTTAAAGGCTGGGATTACATGCAATTAGTGTTAATGCTAATTGCATGATAAGCTCCATTAAATTCAAGCACTATTCTCTTTAGTGGATGCACTCTGCAAATAGAATGTTATGCTCTCAGAGGAGTTTAATCTCCTGGTAGTGAAAGATATGGAGAGATGTATTCACTAATCCAAGAGAATTATTTTAACTCAAAAGCAAAAAGTGTCCTGCACACTCTTCACCTCATACATTTCAATGGGTCTTTTTTCCCAGCAATCCAGTAGACAAGCAGAAGCAGTTAAGAAGGCCTGTAAAATAATTAGTAGTGAGCTATAAGGAAATTTCACTGCCTTTGAAGGAATGTGGATGGGCACCCTTCCAGTCAAAGTTCGTTTTCTTTTGTTGTGGCTGTGTTACCATGTTGCAGTACATGTGAGAGATGCTGGAAGTGCATTCTAAGCACTACTGTATTGTAACAAAGAGCTAGGAAGATTTACCGGGGCAAATCAAAAAAGGGAAAGTATAAACTCTATTGCAGAGAATGCAAGAAAGTGATTTTGTGTCTGCTGTTGAAATATAATATTTTGGCTGACTGCCAAAATATGGGATTTATGGGGAAGAAAGCCCTAAAATATTTTTCCCCTACGAAAGAAGGAAAGGAGGTAGTTGGAGGAACCCCTTCAGGAATGGTGGGGAATTCTTATGTGTCTAGCTGCTACTGAAGCTTTAAATGGCTTTCTGGTGTAATGAATATTTCATTACGAAGATGGAAAGGAGGACCAAGAAATAAATTAGGCTGCTTATTTTGAAAGAGCAGTATTCAGTGGATAGTAGTTAAAAATCACAAAAGTTGTGTGTTCAGTATCTCAGTATTTGGATGTAATTGTTGTAAGAAATAATAAACAAAACACATTAAGTATCAGTAAAGTGGGTGTAATTCTATTGCAGATACAGTAGTAAAGCGCATTTTGAGATGAAAACCTTTTTGTTTGGAAGCCATTCTGTTGAGTGTCTGCTAGCTTCAGTGTTGGATCTATTGTACTTCCTGATGTGAAATGGGGAGTTTGGGGTGCTGCAGTGATTCAGTTTCACTTGCTGTTTTTTACAAGTAAGTATCAAGCTGAAGTCTTCTACAGCCCTTCTTTTGGGCATTTCATTAAGTAGGTGTAGAGTTAAGCACAGGCTGAAGCAGGATTTCATTTTTCTTTTCTCCTTACAACTTACAACAGGTGAATTATTTTCTTACAGCTTTTACTTGGGTAGAGAGGCATGAAAAAGCATGGTGTTCACAAGCCATGAAAAGTAGCAAAATAACTAGAAAACATCATTCCCTGAAACAGCTGGATTCTGTGTGCAGCAGGTTAAGTTAAATCACAGATCAGTCATTATCATAACAAACTTCAGGTAACCAGTAGCAGCCATTTTTACCTCACATCATCCACGTCAGTTTTTGCAGCCATGTCCAGCAAGTCCTTTTATGGACTGTATTGAAAGCAGCACCTGGGTGGCTATTCTTTTTCATTGGGAGCTTGTGAACTAGAAAAGGAATCAGCAGGACACCTAAAAATGTAAGTAACATCCTCAGCTTCTAATAGCAGCTAATTCATTTCAATTGCGTAGTGCTCCTGGTTCGTGTCTACCTACCAGATAGCTCAGGCACACTCCTCTGCATGTCACAGCCTCATGAGCGTAGATGTTATCCTGGTTTCAATGCTTTTATTATACTTGCTATAAAGTAACATGTTCCGTGAGAGTTTTGCTGCCTGGCCTTTTGATGGATGGAGACTCTCTGAGGCAGAGTACTTCGTGCGGGCTGTGGGACAGGCACTGGGTCATTTCAGGAGGGCTCTAAGTGGGAGCCCTTTTGGTGCTCAGGTGAGATGCTTGATGTCAGTGATGCGCTTCCTTTGAAAGTTTGAGGAACATCCTGCATAGTGACTGTGTTAAACTTTCGGAGAAAATATTTGTATTGTGGTGCCATCTTGTGGCTTTAGGAGAGATAAGCAGTCTGTGTAATTACCTTTAAAGATAAGCAGTCCGTGTAATTACCTTTAAAAAAAAAAATTAAGAGTACGTTATTTTAAGCAAATATTGTCTTCTCATTTGGCTTATTTATGCAAATAGGGGTGGCACAGAGAAGCCTTGCGCATCCAGCATGTACATCTGGATCTTAAATACGAGCAGTAGTAACTTATTAGATCCACAAGATTGCAATTTTACACTTCTTAACGGTCCTCCTGCACTTTGTCAGACAGGGTTCAGGTTTGGCCTGTGTTTGTACTGAGGCAAAAGTGGTCCACATTGGTACCTCCCTTATTTGTCCCTGCAAGCACTGAGCTTTGCATTGCTTTAAGCGCTTCTGTGTTACGATCTTAATGAATAACTTCCTGAAATCACACAGAAACTGGGCAGTAGTTAAACTGCCAGGCAGACTGTGGGAATGTAGCAGTGTTTTTCTTTGCTCTACAAAGTATTAGAAAAAAAATGCTCCGTGCTTCTAGACACGACAAATTCCTTCTTTATTTGCAGAGCCTGGTATACCCAGTCACACCTTCAGCAGTGCTGATTCTGCAGCATGGTTTGCATGTCTGGGATCGTGCAGCATCTCTTCTCGAGTCCTGTTGAGAGCTGTATGTGGTCCCACGTGGGGCCAAGCACAAGGCTGTAGGCTTGGAGGTCTTTGATCGTTTTGACTACAAGGGATGCTTTCTTACCGTCTTCTGCTTTTTGGAGGAAAGAAAGTGCCTGTCGCCTGATCAGTGGATAGCTGTGAGATAGCCTGGTTTCTTTCCACCTTTCTTAAGTGCTGCCACAAGTGCTTAAGTTCTCACATACCTTTGTTGCTTTATCTTTAAAATAGAAATAATCATGCTTTCCATTCTTTGGAAGAAGCTTCATAGGAGGGCTGCTGATTAATATTGCTGTGAAAGTAACTTGATTTCTGTGGTATGTAAGATTCTCATTGTTAATGTACTTCATGAAAACATCTGATTACATTCTCTTTTATGGTATGTGTGTATTTCTCATTGCCATTAAATTCAAGCAGATTAAGAGATAAGGAAACAAAAGCCCACTCCCTTTGTTTGCATGCAGCACTGTGTCACAGAAATATTTCTTGATGCTCTTCTTTGTAGTTACTGCTGTATGAGAGAGGCTGGATGAATAGATGGAAGCCTTCCGTTTTACATGAAGGGGAAGGAAACATAAGGAATGTAAAATGGAGAGGACACTTAATTGCTTGGGCCAATAACATGGTAAGTGTTTGCCACCTCTCTTAAAAGAGCAAAAACACCTCTGCATTACACTGTTATTGAAAGATTTCAGTGGAGCAAACTATTGAAGAAATAATGCCAATGTGAACTCTTCTTTATTAAAAGTATATTGCCCCCTTTTCATCCTCCCCCCTGCAAAACTCTAAGTTTTCAAAATTCATACTGAACTGACAACATAATATGTATTGCTAATGTTGCAGATGTAAAAAATTCTGTTAGACTACTCAAAAGGCTAGACTTAAGAGAAAATGGGCCCTTTTTGCTAAGAGAGCAATTCATTGTTTAAAGGGAAACATTGCTTTCATGCTGAGTGTTGCATTTCACCTAACACTGTATATGTAATTAATGGGTCAAGGTCTGTGTTTTAAAGCTCAACAGTGAGAGATTTTAAGTAAAGCATCATGTCTGAATTCCAAATTTTTGTTTTGAAATGTGACGTGGGTACTTGTGAAAACGTTTATTTTCTTTCTTCTTCTATTTTCCCTACTGAAGGAAGCATTCATTAAAATATTTTAAAGCTGTTGTTCTTTTATTCTTTTTAAAAAGCAGTTTGGTATGAAGTTGTTAAAGGTAGACTTTTTGTTTATTTGCTTCCCTTTAATGACTGCAACTTAAGCAAGTGCTTGATTGTTACAGCAATAGGTTATGACTGAAAGGTTTTGTTCTTTTCAGAGCCATACAATTAAAATATATATTCTGGGTGAATCTGCAGGGAATGGATAGGACAGTTGAGGAGAGCTATCCCTAGAGATGATGTGCCACATCAGAACACAGCATACTAATAAAATGTTGAGAGCCATCTGTCAGAGACAAAAAGCCATGCTCAGGGCCTATCTTTCAATGAAAAATGAAATGACACTTGCCCTCCAAAAGATTAATATGTTTGGTTATTGGCCTTTTCCCTTCCCCCTTTACCTTTTTAAAATTTTCTTCATTCTGTAGTGAGGTTTTTGTTCCTCTTTTCCTTTCCAAACTAGAGAAAATCCCATATAGCCAAGCTGCTTACTTTCTCTCCAGTTATTATTTTCTTGTGCTTTTTGTTTTTTTATTATTATTATTTTATTACACACTGCGTGTGAGCTTGTGAGACATCGGGTATTTTGAGATGGGCTTCAGGTTATTTTGGCAAGGTCTAATTTCTGTTTTCAAGTGTTCACATAACATGCTTGCCACTGTGCCCTCCTCTTCCTCCATGACCAAGAGTCTAAGTTCTACAGACAGATACGTGAGGACAAAACCCTTAGCATGCCTCACTCCCTCAGAAACAGGCATTTGTTTCCATCATGATAGGAAATTGACTCAGGAATTCCTGTCAGTTACAGTGCACATGGCATGCTTTATCTATAGAGGATTCTATCCTGCTGACTTGAGAGCCACTTTAAATGTAAGTTAGTCTACCCTGTGTAGGATTTGTTTGCCTTGTAGAAAAACAGATGTGATATGGGTCACTTGTTTGAAAATAATCCTGGAAGACAAAGTGATGAGATTAATGAAAGGCAGATTTATTAAAAAACAGTTCAAGCAAGATTGCAGACTTTATAAAATGAGCTTAGAAAACACAAAGAATGAGATCCTTCTCTGTGTTACCCAGAGATTTGTTCTCTGCAGAAACTGTTACGTAGTTTTTGTTCTTGTTTTGTTTATGTGTGTTTTGTTCGTTGGTTGGTTTTTGTTGCTTTGCTGGGTTGGGTTTTTTTTTTAATTTTAACGTTTGATGACTTTTAGCCTAAGAGATGCCAGTAGGAGTGTTTCTGTTCCCTTCTGTAGCACTTATTGCTTCCTGCAATTTAAGTTTGAAAAAACAAAAAGGGGAGGTGAGGGTTAGGGAGACAAAACGTGGCGTATGCCATGACCCTCATATTGAGATTCTTTGACTTACAGACACTTGAACTGGTGCAGCTGGGGACACAGAAACCTGCAGTCAGGGGGAACAGAAACAGGCAGGGGAATCTTTTAAATCAGTTTTGTCACTAGAAAAATTCTAACATGGAATGGCATCCTGGATGCTGACCTTTCAAGGTTCCTTCCATCCCCTTTTCTGTGATCATAAGACTTGTTTTTCTGTTCACTGAGCTTAAGGGAAATACCTGCTAAATTGCTTTGGGTTTTTGTTTTTTGTTTTTTGTTGTTGTTGTTGTTGTTTTTTTTTTTTCTTGCAACATTTGCTATTAAATCACAAAGAAGCAAGTTATTACTTAATGTGAATTAATCTCTATTTTGCTAGTGGAAAGGTTATAGCTCGCCTTTTCTAAATGGTATGGAAAAATCTGATTAATAGCTCTTCAGTGCTCTCTCTCCTTCTAAAATAACTTTAATCTTCCTTTCTTTAAACTTTTTGTTCTGCTAGTTTGGGATATTTCCTGAGGAGGCAGTGAAAAATCACACTGTGTAAAACCAAACATCATTTAAATATGCTTGTTTTTCCCTTTCAGCATAAGAGTATAAATGCATTTTTAGAGAAGTAGAGATTGATGTCATTTATATTAATGAGTTGTTGCTTCACATCTTTTTTTCTGAGATGAAAATTTTGGTTTCTCTATGAGGAGTGTTATGGAAGCGCATGGGATGCTTTTGTTTCTTCAACTAATAAGCCCAAACAATCTGGAATGGTTCATGACTTGAGCTGCTGATCTGCTCCTCATTCATTCTTTATGTCTTTTTATTTGACGAGTACAGTTCAAGTGTCAGTTTATTCTGATCTTACCATTTCTCCTGTTACATCCTGGGTTAGGTTGGTCATTGTATCAACAGCTTTTTGTGTTGGTGTTTTCATCTGTACCCTGCAACTTACAAAAACTGCTACGGCTGTCAAACAGTGCAAAATCGTATGGGCTCTGGTGGTTAGGAGTTTATCATGCTGAATAAAGTCCTCTTCTGTTTAAACTTTCAGGGCGTGAAGATACTTGACATGATCTCCAAGCAAAGAATTACCAATGTGCCTCGAGATGACATAAGCCTTCGCCCAGACATGTATCCCTGTAGCCTTTGCTGGAAGGATAATTTAACACTGATTATTGGCTGGGGAAATTCAGTAAAGGTGCAATTACCTGTCTTTGTAATAAATGCTTGCTGTTATCACAGACAAACAGAGGATTATTTCTGAAAAGCAAAGACAATCGAAAAAAATAGAGTTTGGTTTGACTGCAGTCTGCAGAACTCCTGCTGCCATAGAAATGTCATTGGACTGACCCTCATGAGGAGGAGGAGTGATAGACACCCAGCGGTCAGACAGATTT